CCTAGATGGCCGGCTTGTCAGTCTGTGATTATGCAGACCTAGAGAATTATTGATACAATTAATCCCAAGGTGCAGGGGATGCAGGGCTCAAGTGGATAATCCTAATTCAATTCTAGTTTTATGCAGAATATTCTGAGACAACATTTACTTCCATCATATATATATTAATACAAATATAATAGAAGAATGTCTATACATATATATCAATTCATATATAATAGAAGAATGTCTATACATATATATCAATTCATATATAATAGAAGAATTTCTATACATATATATCAATTCATACATAATAGAAGAATGTCTATACATATATATCAATTCATATATAGTAGAAGAATGTCTATACATGTATATAAATTCATATATAATAGAAGAATATCTATACATATATATCAATTCATATATAATAGAAGAATGTCTATACATATATATCAATTCATATATAATAGAAGAATATCTATACATATATATATTAATACAAATATAATAGAAGAATATCTACATATATATTAGAGACGAACCTAGTGTTAACTTCAAAGTCGATAAAAGAGCAACGATTTAAATTTTAAACTAAGTTGGCGGGAAGCGCCCTAGAATCCTTTAGATTAGACAGAAAATGTGTCAAGATGTATAAGCAAGAGCGTATTCTGCTCTCCACTGTCTAACATATTCTTACAACGATCGACTAAATGTTATCTTTCTAATTGCTTCGCTATATGGATTGTTTTTCTGTTGAAAAAGACTAATTATTGGCTGAATTGGAGTAATTAAAACACTCCTGCCGAGTTCATTAGCGCCTGATCCAATCAGGGTTCAGTCATGTGTTTGGTGTCTATTCTGAACCAATAGGAATAGTATAGCGGTAACATCTATCCTTCTATCTATCTCATTATCCAATTAGAGATAAATCCTTATATGCCAATTAGAGATAAATCCTTATATGCGCGCTATGACAGTAAATGGAAATATGCAAGTGGCAATAATAATAATTAATAATAATAATAAAAAATTAACTGTATGTCTATGGAAAGAAGAAGCCTGTATAACTTTAATAAAAAATGATAAATATAAAATTGAATTGTACAAGGTAGGTTTTGTTCTCTGTAATCCTAATCCAGGATTAAAATTACACTGCATCAATTTTCAAACTTGAAATTTTCCAAGAAAATGGAAATTTAAGATAGCTAGAGAATTTTTATTTTGATCTTTGTTTTAATATTTTTTAAGAATACAGAGGTCGAAACTTTTGTGTGGATTTTGTTAACCTTGAATTCTTGATCTCGATATCCAATGTTTGCACATTTAAATTTGAGGATCAATGTTTGATCCCTCAATTCAAGTTATTCCTACTGTGTATGACTATCATGAGATCTCGGAGAGGAATAAATTTAATCCGTTGATCTGCATAAGATGAAGATCAATGCTTGATCCCGAGATCTACAATACAAAAGTTATTTTCTCTAATCTTAATATACTTCTTGTGAGGAGCACATACGGATTCAATGGGTTACTTGCTACTTTATATAATATCATATAATTCTGGTTTAATGGGTTACTGCAATATAATATTAAAGGAAGTACTCAGATTTTCATATTTACAGGGTGTGCAGTAAAGAAAATATTGAAAAAGCTAGATTTATTTAGAAAAAATGCGTACCTTGAAAATAATTTCAAAGTTTTCTCTTCCAAGTAAAATAATAAAAAAGTTGATACAAAATTACTATTGTGTATCACTGAAATTTTCTGCCATAAATATAGATCTGGAAAATTGAATATTTTATTGGTAAATATGATAAGGTTTGTGTGTGTGTGTTTTAGTAGGATTTGGTTGACTTTCGGCCCAATGGATTCGGATCCTTGGGTCTGTATATTTTTGCGGATCCTGGATTATAAGGAAGCCAAAACGGATCCAGATTCGGATACTGACATCAGTATGCAAAGATATAAGATGAAGAAATCAGAAAAAAATCATCTTTTCTCTTTAAAATGTTTTTGAATGAATTTTAAAAATGATTTCAAAAATCTAAGACAATCTCTTTAAATCGTCTCATATAATTGTCATGTATTAATAATTATCACGCAATCTCGAGTATTGAAGACAAGAAAACGGTAATTCTCAAAACTTAAAAAGTTTACCATTGCATGAAGAAGTTTTTTTTGGATTACATATTAAAAATAAAATAATTTATTTTCCTAATAAGGTTTATATTCCATCCCCATTTATTGCATGAATGCAATGTTGTAGACACATAGTATTCCCTTTAATACATATCCTTTAATTATTTCATGGCAGCAGAAACCGAGAATATTAGATTAGAACTAAATTAGTTGGAATTTTTTCATGCATTCCTGTATTTTTCGTGTGTCTTAATTTCATGCTTACTGTTTTCGTTCAATTTATATTAGAACAAAAATTTGTGTCAGTAATTTAGTTTCTTAAATGAAAAAAGACAGAAAAATATTTTTTATTAATCTCTAACTAGTCAGTTTTCAACAAATTATGAATATATAAAAAATGAATTCCGAATAGTGTTCTCTATCTGTGCGCCCAACAATGTAGTGTAAGCACAATTTCAGGTTGAAAACATGAAATGTACCTCGATGTTTTTTTATCGTCAGTACGTCCTACTCTATACTACAGTGAAACCACTAAACTCTGTACCAGGGAGAAGACTTTTAGACTCAAGTTACGACTTTAAATAAAATACACTGCTTTTATGTCGTCTTTCTTTTTCATTTTTTTCTGGTTCTCACTATATATAAAGTAAACCAGAAGTTTTTTGGAATTTTACCAGGGGGGCTTAACCTGTTTTTCCTTTTTTTGTAGGGGGGGGNCAATGCTGAAGAAAGCAATCTGTTGCTTTATGAAACAAATTTGTTTCTCCACGAAAGAACACTTTGTTTAAAGAAACAAACCTTGTAAGTTTAGATAATCTTGGATAATGTTTCATTGTAATATTCTCCACATTATGCCACTTGATATTATTCAGATCTTGAATAACACATTATATTGCATAATTCATAGCTTAAATACCACATTATATTGCATAATTCATAGCTTGAATACCACATTATATTGCATAATTCATATGTTGAATAACACATTATATTGCATAATTCATAGCTTAAATACCACATTATTTTGCATAATTCATAGCTTAAATACCACATTATATTGCATAATTCATAGCTTGAATACCACATTATATTGCATAATTCATAGTATTGCATAATTCATAGGTTAAATGTCCGCGCTTTACAATACAATTCATTATTTGAAAATTTTATTTTTCCGCGTACATTACATTTTTAACTTTTTTTGTTTAAAGTCGTCTTCTTAATTCTTTAATGATTTTCTGTGCCATGGGCGTGAAAGAGAAAGGTGCTACGGTCTATTAAAGCTTGAAATTAGGTGACTAAACTTGATTGTTATCATCAATAAATTAGTCGATATAATATGCTCAAAGTAGCCATAAACAGTATTTTATGAGTACTTACAGGGTTGGATACTGGATATTTAATCTCGAAATGTTATTGTTTTTGTTTCGCTTAAGATTATTATTTATTATCTTTTTTAAAAAACTTATTTCTCTTGAAGTATTTAGCCTTATTAATGTGTAAAACATGTTGGTATTTGAAGCAGAATTAAGATTGGATATGATTCTGAGTAAGCTGAATTCTTTCCTAGTTTGAATATTATATTAAGGTTTGCAGAATTCTTTGCATGGATACCGCATGATGGCGTGCAGAATTCCTAGCTTGGATATTGCAATTTGCATGTATAGCATGCAGAATTGAGCTTGGATATTACATGATGGAATGCATTATTACTAGCTTAGATATTACATCATATTGATAGTATGCATATTGCATAATTCATTGCTTGAATACCACATTATATTGCATAATTCATAGCTTGAATACCACATTATATTGCATAATTCATAGTATTGCATAATTCATAGCTTGAATATCACATGATATTGCATAATTCATAGCTTGAATACCATATTATATTGCATAATTCATAGCTTGAATACCACATTATATTGCATAATTCATAGCTTGAATACCATATTATATTGCATAATTCATAGCTTAAATACAACATTATATTGCATAATTCATAGCTTGAATGCCACATTATGCCACTTGATATTATTCAGATCTCTATTGAATTAGATGATAAAAACTAAATTTGTTATTATTGTGAAATTTGGTTTAAAAAGTTAACTTATAGTAAAATGACTATTTAAACCTTAGAATGTTTTACCTTCATAGATTGAGCCTACATTTAACCTTCATTTTTGCAATCTCATATTTACGAATGAAAATCATCGTAATAAATATATCAATAAAATTATAGCATTGCATAATGAGAATGATTTTCCTTAAAGTGCGTAGTTTTCCCATAATATAGGGTTACCCATAATTGGGATGAGACTTTCAAATTACCTGAATCTATTCAACTTTAACGATGACTTTTGTCTTTACAATACAGTCTTTATAAGGTGTGTTGTAGATTATATGACAATGAAAGCAAAAATGTAAAGGAAAAAAAACATTTTATACAGTGGTCTCTAAACAGTCAAATTCTATTATCCCTATATCTTTGCAACCTGTTGGTGTAAATCTTTGAAATTTCCAACCTAGATTCAAATTATTTAACAGAATTAATAGTTTAAAATATCTAAGGTCTATAACATTAGGTTGAAAATATATATGAATATGAAATCCGAGTTTTTGGCTTAACTACAACTAGATTTTTAAAAACTCCTCCCCCAGGAATACTATAGATGAATATGTATCCAAGTATCCTGGGATCATTAAGGATAATTTTTGTTGGTTTGGCTCCAGATTCACTTTCCTACAGGCTCTCTCTTCTCCTCTCTCTCTCTTTCTCTGTATATATCTCTCTCTCTCTCTCTCTACCTGAACCCTAACCACACAAATAGATAGATAGATACTCTACTAACCACTCAGTTAACCTTTGGTGTCAGACCCGCTTAGACGTGAGCGGACACATCTCTGTTGTTTTAAAGTGTTGAAATTGTGAAGTGTGTTTAAAATATACAAATGTAGTATTTTAACAGTGAATAATGATGTAAGGTAACATAGTACAACCGAAGGTTGAGGATGGTTTGACCCGGGGGTTATGAAGTACGTCGAGGTGGCCGGGCAGCTTAGACCTGAGTTTAGGATGCCTATGCATCTGAACGGGGTATTGATGAGTGGATACCGAGGTATGGGAGATGGTGTTTACCGTCCTCCTCTCTCCAACATGTCCCCCGGGATGATGCACAGAACCTCCAGCCTCGAGATGCTCAACAACATCAAGTTCGAGGAGAAGCGAGCTCTCATCGCTTCAACACTCTCCCTAAATGATCTCCTGAAACCGTCCCAGGATTTCAGGACACCAATCAGCCCGCCGACGAGCAAGGCCCAGTTTAACCCGGCGGTATCGAACGGGTATATGGTTCCACACAGTTTATATAAGACGGGAAACGGCGGTTACAATATAAACTATTTGAACAACGGTATTCCGGAGAAGGATATAGGTAGGGTTTAAACACATATTTTTGTCCTTAATCTCTAATTATTTTCCCGTTTCAGTTGTATAGGCTTAACTGGGTGGGGGGAGGGGGGGTTCACATTTTTTCATATTTCACCCCCTAACCTCTCTTCTTATTTTTTCATGTTTCGCGCGTAAATATTCACACGAAGAACTCCTATATTTCCTCCTTTTTATTCAACTCCCCCCCCCCATAGATAACATGTAGTTGCGCCCATAATAAATCCCTTCTCTAATTCTCCTCTATGTAAAGTTTTCTATTTTAGTTTTTACTAATTCTATATTTTACCATATTACCTTCCCTACTTTCCTCATTTAAAATGTGTTCGCTCTATTTCTGTTCAATATACAATTCAATATATTTGAAGAAATTTCTTGATTTATTGTTCCTGAATTAAACTACTTTGGTAACTTGTAAAAATTAAAACTTTGTTTTATGTTTTACCCGGCTTCGCCTGGAAACTAAAGTTTCTTCATAAAAGTCAACGGCACTCTGTTCAGTCAAGATAAGAACCTTTCTGCGGTTCTGCCAAGTTCCCCAATCTCCAAATTTGATCGGTCAACGAGTTCATGAGATATGATCAGAAATCCAAACAATCATATAATTACTATTTTATAATATAATATTTCGTACTTTTTACTTAATACAGGACACAGGTGTTTAAGTGTTAGAGTAGTTTAACACATATGGAAATATTGAAAAAAATGATGTTGAAAATGATTTAAATTATATTTCTATATATTTTCACAAAATCTGATAATTTAAGTTTTAGTTCAAGGAAAATTCCTTTGAGGGACTTAATCAAACATATTTAGTTTCTTAAAAATAATATTTTTCCTGGTTCTTTCTAAATCCAATCTGCTGCTTTCTTAAGCCAATCTGTTGCTTTCTAAAATCAATCTGTTGCTTTCAGAAACCAATCTATTGCTATAAGAAACCAATCTATTGCTATAGGAAACCAAACTATTGCTTTCTGAAACCAATCTGTTGCTTTAAGAAACAAATTTATTTCTATAAGAAACAAATATATTGCTATAAGAAACCAAACCATTCCTTTCAGAAACCAATCTGATGCTTTAAGAAACAAACCAATTTATTGCTATAAGAAACCAATCTATTGCTATAAGAAACCAAACCATTCCTTTCAAAAACCAATCTGATGCCAATTTATTGCTGTAAAAAAACAATCTATTGATATAAAAAGCCAATCTGTTGCTACAAGAAACAAATTTATTGATTTAGGAAACCAATCTAATGCTATAAGAACACAATCTATTGATATAAAAACCAATCTATTGCTAAAAGAAACCAATCTATTGCTATTAGAAGCCAATTTACCACAAACCTGCAAAATGGTAAAATAGCGTAAGGATTGTCCCTTCCATGTTCCGTGTACCTGTGTTCTGTATGTTGGTAAGTGAAGATAGGAATCCAGGCATTTGAAGAGACACGAACAAAGCACCCAGACTGTAATTTCAATTTTCTACGCACTTTTTACATGATTGATTGATCAAAGCTGCGCGTGTTGGGGGCGTGTGTGCGTGCGACTCTTTGTGCACGTATATATGTATTCCTACCTAGCCTTTAGCTATGAAAAAATTGTAATGGGACGAAATGCGCGTTATTATCTCAAAAACGCGACTTCACTTTTTAGCCATATTTTATTATTAGCAACAAATATCTACTGTTGTAAATCGTAAAATGTAGGAGGGGGGAGGAAGGATGGTAAGGCGGGAGGGGGGGATGTTACAGTTTATGTATTTTTAATCAAATATGACTATGAGAGAACTACAGGGTGTCCCACGAAACATGACAATAGGAAGACGACTTGGAAGTCGTCTTTGGTATTTGAATTTATTTGTGACATTTAGTCTTCTATCTACTTTCCTCAGGACGGGGTCCAATCTTATCCAATACTCATCTTTCTAAACCTTTCTTTATTCATGCATTCTTTATTCTGTATTTTCTTTATTATGTATTCTCTTATCTTTATTTTCTTAATTCTGTATTCTTTTATCTGTATTTTCTTTATTCTGTATTCTTTTATCTGTATTCTTTATTCTGTATTTTCTTTATTCTGTATTCTTTATTCTTTATTCTTTTATCTGTATTTTCTTTATTCTTTATTTTCTTTTTTCTGTATTCTTTTATCTTTATTTTCTATACTAATCTTTCACTAATGCTATACGTATATGTAGTATGTTTCTAAAATTGCGCATTTATTCTTCTGAAACAAGGGAGAAAATCTTCCAAATGGAATACTTTTTAAGCTATAAATGATAAAGGTTTAGAGGGTACTGGCATGTCCTTCCATGAAGGGATATTTCCAAATTAGGCATCTTTGCATGGGGGGAAAGGTCGCTTGAAATTACGTTTACAGTCCCTTTAAAATTCAAACGGAAGACCACTTGAAATTACAAGAAAAGTCCCTTTAAATTCACACAAACTGACAATAATTCAATTGTAAACTTATATGAGAATATTAATTGCTATTTTTAAAACCATATTTTTAGCCTAATTCGTTATTGTTTATTTTTATACTACCACTAGCGCATCCCGGGGCTTAGAGGGAAGTAAATCAGTGCAATATATTGGGAGGGTAGGGAGGGGGATTGGCCATGGGAAAGAATGGAAAAACTTACAAAAAATTAGCAAAAATGTGTTTAAAGAAAAGAATGTTTATATTGAATCTGATCTGACACATTTTGTCAGTTTCCTTCAGGTCAGAGTTAATCCAAACTCAGTTTTGCAAATTTTTGCTCAGTCGTTCACGCTCTCTGACACATTAGAAAAATAGTTCGACTATCCGTACCTAGTTTTACTACTTTTCGCTATCATAAACTCCGACCTAGGCAGATTATCGGGACCGAACGTTGTCAGCTAGATCCAATTCCAATATATAGAGAAATCCACTGAGTTTTGAAGTCCATGGAAAGCTCTGTTTACAGAAACATCTAATACAATTAGAAGCAATCAATTCATGATTTGATTATGGTTCATGCTCCTCTCTTCACGTTTTCTCGTTCTTCTGCGTAAAATCAAAACTGGAGAAGCTACGAGGTTACAAAGTCGTTGCAATAATGTTGCATTAATTTGACCTTCTCCTTTCTTGACACCTCTTTTTTAAGTTAATTAGATTATTAATTATGGAAAGTTTAGTAAGGAATTATTGCATATTTATTCTGCCTGGTTTCTTGCCGCCATTTAAAGTTGGCGCGATGAAGCATGAGCAATGCACGTCAAATCAAATATGAAGGTTCCGCTTCAAAACCAACAAACATTGCGTAATCTTGAGAAATTCTTACAAACATTTTTTTTTGAGATCCTCAGAGCTTCAATTTGATTTATTCAGAATCTAGCTTTTTTCGGGTTTTTTTTTCTGTTTTTCATCCTTTGATCAACTTGGATGTTTGATGTTTTGAAATAATCATTTCCTGCCCCTTCCCCCCCTCCCTTTATGGTGCAAAAGGGGGGGGATATCTCAGTATGTATACTATATATATACTATACAGTTTGGTGAGAGTTTTTTTCAGTTTCAAAAAACGTTTGTAAATTTCATGCCATCTCTGATTGTATAGATACTATCCGAACTTTAAAATTACCCCCCCCCCCCCCNCTAGCCTGTCCTAGCCGCAGCGCTCGGCCCAGAAAGTGTCTTAACCTAACCTAACCCTAAATAATAATAAATAAATGGATATAATTGACCATGTGGCCATAGCGCTCGGCCCCCTAGCCTGTCCTAGCCGCTGCGCTCGGGCCAGAAAGTGTCTTAACTAACCTAACCCGTGGCCGTAGCGCTCGGCTCGCCAGCCTGTTCTAGGCACAGCGCTCGGCCCAGAATGTACCTAACCTAACCTTAAATGATAATAAAAAAAATACTAACCGTCAAAATTAAAAAAAAAATTTGCCCTTTTGTCGCATTTTTTGACTCTTTGTCGTTTGACCCTGTGTCGTTTGACCCTTTGTCGCGTTTTTGACCCCTTGTCGTTTGACCCTATGTCGTTTGACCCTTTGTCGTTTGACCCTTTGTCGGTGAATCAAAATAAAGATATAGATTTTTTTATTTTGTATAAAATTCAAAAACATCGTAAAATTTTCTGTTTTGTAGAAAACATCTAGAATTGAAGGAATGGGGTGTCATTAAATAGAAGAAAAATGTTTGTTCATCAACGGTTTCCTGGATTAACGACACGACTCCTGATTATCTGTCTTAAACCATCAATTACCAAAAAAACTCGTGAATTTAGAAAATTTTAAAAATCTTTTTGTTGGCGTTTCTATTTGTTATGAATAAATGACATTACTCGATTTTGATTTTTGAAAAAATAACCATTGTATAGCTCTAAACATCACTATACTGCAGACAGATTATTGTGTTCGTGCCTAGAGTAATTATTTCAATACTTAGATGAAGTATTTTCATGCCTACATAGAGTATTTCATTTTATCACTAATAATTTTCATACCCTAAGTAATCATTTTCATACATAGACTAATTCTTATACCTACAGTCATTTTTATAGCTTGGAGTCAATTTTAAACCTAGAGCAATAATTTTCTAACATGGATGAAATATTTTTAAACAATTTACACATAATAGTAATTAGTTAAATATTTGGCACTGTAACGATTAGGACTAGTTTGATCTCCTTTCCAATAGAAGTATTACTCTGAAATTAGATCTTTGAGATGATACGAACTCCTGAAGTTTATTAAAATGTCATATTTTTCCCAAGGATTTGAAGAATTTTCAAAATTCCAAAAATTAAATTCCTAGTCTCCATTTTTATCTGTGATACAAATCTATAAACTGTTTAAAATTCTGAAAATAGAATTAGGTTCGCCTGATCCTGCAAACTACTCTACTCTGTTCCAACAAAATATCAACTTTTTATGAATAATCGTGGAATTTTTTAAATAATTAACATTTTGTTCTGGCAGTTGTTTAAACCTCGCCCCCACCATCTCCTAAATATTTTGAATTA